TAGGAATTTAACAAGTTCTAATTCAGTTTTGTCACACTGTTCCAAGTATTACTGCTTGTCATCTCATATCAGAATGGATCCAAGCCCCTAGTCCAATGTCCTATGCTACTAGAACTCCCTGAACTAGAATTGCAACATACCTATACACATGTGGGCTCCCTGGCCCATCACCTGCTTGAATACAGAAATGTATATTTCTTGACTTTTGTTCTGTGTTAATGATCCTTCCTACAAATGTGAACGCTACAGTGGATTCCAGCTGGTCAGATTGAAAATGGCTGCCTTCCTCGTTGAGGTCAATGTGAATCAATTAATTTTTCATTGAATCAATTAATTTTTTAATTCATCACCTTTCTCTCATTTTTAATTAGATATCTGATGTAGACAGGATATTAAATCCAATCACTTGAGGCCACTGATGTAAGTCTTTGTTTGGATTCTATTAGTACCATGCCCATATCATTCTGTTTTCACTGTATCTCTCCCCAAAGAGAGATATACATTTTCTCAGAATGGATTACAGTATAGTAAATAATATTTACCTGTTTATAATGTGCATTGTGGGTATTTAAAAAGTAACACCTATGCTCACTGTCATGAAACCAGGCCGTCACTACTTCTTAAACTATGTAGTTATTCTTTTGGAAGCTAAATAGGCATAACAGAAGCAGGGAGGAAACATTAGGAAAACTGCATACTGTTCCTGAAGTTGCCAACTGCTGATGAAAAACCCAAGTGAAAAAAAATGAGCAGAAATGATTTATTCCCTAATTTCCTAATAACCTACTCAGAAAACAAAGGTGACCATGTAGCTTTCAAAACATGACAGGATTGTACGTGGTCACTGAAGAGCAGTGTTTAATGGTACTGAAGCTCTGGGAAGATAGGACATATTCCTCTGTGACATTTTCGGTCATCGAGGAAGGGAGGGGTTCCTTGCTGAAGATCAAGGATTTCTTGATCTTCAGTCCCTGTTCAGCATGGGCCAGAGTGAGATGGCAGGTTCTGAACTCAGGTGGCGATCTGAGCAGAGCTCTATGGACTGCCCTTCTGTGCCTCTGAAACCTGCTTCTTTGGAATTGTCCTTATCCTGCCTAATGCTGAGAAAATTGTGGCCAGCACATGCTGTACTGATTAATCCTCACTGAAAAGGGGTTTTCACAGAGCAGCTCCATGGATACCACTTTTACCAGGCTAACAAACCTCAACGTACCCTTGTGGCTTCAGAATATTGAGTTTTGGGAGGTCAGCCATGGGTTTGCATTGGAATCTTCTGGAGTAGTCTGCAACTTCAGGTGTCAAAAAACAGGTGGGACAAAGTATACCACATACTCTATAATTGGGTCTGGTTTGGAGCTTTACAGAGAGTCTCAGAGGATTCCAGTGAGCTGTCGGATTAAGGACAACCACCTACATCCAACCTCACAACACTCCAGGACGGAAGAGGGAAAGTAATTTCGGAGGGCCAAAGCTCACACTGATGTAACATTTTCTACCAGTGTAGGCTGGTTTAAGCACTTTATTTTGCTGTAGAACTCGAGTCTTGAGAGACTGTAGCAGGAACAGAAGGATTTATCAGGTGTACATTCGACTCAGTAGACTTGAGTCAAAGATACTGAGCCTGAACAATGGAAGCGCTCTAGTTTTGTGCATTTTGCCTTGAGTGTTACTCTAGTGGCATGAAACTTGGGGGTGGGAAAAGAGAAAAAAGGCAGTTAATGAAGCTGTGCACAGTCACCTTGGTTGGGTAAAAACAGAAATTTTTGAGAACTGGAGGTTATAAACCTTTACTTATAATGTAATTGCTTTTATCTATATTAGAATAAAGAACAACAGCTTAACAGAAGAAAACTTTGGGGAAACTCAAATTTTTCTTTTTAAATCTTGCTTCAGTATGATGATGCTTAAGCCAGGCACAGCTTACATTAATGAAATGTTTTCTGTAAATCAGATATTTTAAGCCATTCACGTGATTCCATTCCTATTGTGGCCATACTTTCTGAAAGACAAGTGAAGAAACCAAGGTTTACTGTGCACATGTGAAGGATCTGGGATGTGAGCCATGAGCTGGGTTCTGGGCTGAAGCAGTAGAATTCTGGCCCTAATTTCTTAGTATAGTGTGTTTCATACAGAGCATCAATGCTGGCTATACCAAATCCAAGACTTTCTGCACAGTCTCTCTACTCTTCACACAATCCTGAATCAGGACTATGACTATGACTATGACTATGACTATGACTATGACTATGACTATGACTATGACTATGACTATAAAGACAGAGAAATCAATTCTAGGGAAACCAAATCTCACTTAACAATGCACAGCTCATAGGACAATCTTATTAGGTACTCAGGTTTGTTTTTCAACAGTCAATGCTTAGTCTCCTAACACCCTAAATTGTTGTTAACTCATCACCATTCTACAGATGAGGAAACTGAGACTCATTGAGGGGTACTAGGTTACTCAAGCCTGCATAACTTTGTGATACTATTTGGACCTGTTGGTGCCCGCTCAGGGCCAGGAAACATTAGGAAAACTGCATACTGTTCCTGAAGTTGCAGAGTTCTTCAAAGCCTTTCCCCTTCTTAGAAGAAATCCTTGATATCTATCATTTCATACATAACAAAACTGAGGCTGAGAGAAACAAATGTACCATAACTTTGTCCACCACTCACTATGTTTTTGTGAGTATTTCTTATGCCTAAAACAATTTCATGCTTTGTTTTTTTACTAGAACTGATGACCTGGTTCTATTTGGAACCCTCCAAGCACTTACTATCAATTCAATTCTTAAATTTTTCTTCAAAAATTCTGAGGTAAACACCCCTCATGAAGTTCCGCAACCTTAGGGAAATAACAGAAACTCTGCTTCCAGAAGCCCCAAACTTCCTCTGGCTGCTGCTTCTCCTGCTTTATGTCCACTGCTCAGTGGAGGAGACACATCTCAGTGAGAGTAACATCCTGGATTTCCCACAGGCACTGAGATGTGTCCCTAAGGAGGGACACATTCTGAGACTAGAAGAGGACCGTCCTCTTCTAGGAATATCAATCCAGCACTGTCTCCCCCACAGAATTATTTTGGATCTATTGTGGTTTTAATGCCTATTGCTGGAGCACAGAAAAATCACAAGGTTTTCAGAGAGGGCTGGAGCAATGTCGTTCACTGACATAAGCACAGTGGTACTGCAGAGAGTAAAACTGTGATTGAGGATGTGAAGACAACACCTTGCCTGTCTCACCAAGTCACAAGTCAAGGCTTCCTGTCAGCTGCAGTGTCCTAGTCTTCAATGATGCAACAAAACTCTCTTACAGTCTTGGTTCAAAGAGAAACTTCCATTTCTAAGAGGTAGCATTTACAATGCAGCCATTCTGTTCAGTCTTCCAACTTTCTTATGCAGCCTAAGTTGGAGCAATGGCATGACACAGAGGAACAAGTGCCCAATCAGGAGTCTGAAGACTGATTCAGGCTAAGACACTTGCTGACTGTGATTACCTAGGATAGGATGCACCATGTTGGAATTCGTAAGTCTTTCTTTACCAGGAAAGATAGGTGAAGCCAAGACCTTGCCTATGTCCATGGGTTATGAGGACAACTGACTGCTATCACATCTGCGAGGGAAAGTTAGCAGGATCCATATGAGTTACAGCATATTATCACTCTGACCCAACCAACTCTTCACTGGAAATTTTCCTCCTATTTGGGATGGTGGTTGTACAAGTTCATCCTCTGCAGCACTGTTGTAGTGGGCCATGGCTGGGATCAACTTAAACACCCACCTACAGATGACTGAAAAGTTTTATGAAATATCATCTAAAGAAGTAATTTTCAGCTGTTAAAATAATGGAGCAGCTCTCTACATTTTAGTATGGAATCCTAATATGAAATTATGATGCGGCTGATATTCGTGAGCAGTTTTCCAATCACAAACAGCGTTTAGGTGTGAATGCGAGAAAAATTCTGAACTGCTTGGAAATAGATGAAATGCAAAATGTTGGGTTTCTAATCTGCAGTTCTGAACCTCCAGTGTATAACTCATGATCCGTGCATGGACACAATGACTATGCTGGGGCTGCTTTTAGCATAGCTGAACTGAGATGTGGTTTCTGCTTCTGATCCTCATATTAATTGGATATTTCTGGTCCTCAGACTTACATCTGTAAGCAGATTAGGTTGCATGGTCTGAAGGTCACTTGTCCCAGAATTAGACATAGAAACAAGATGTTGGTTGTGGGCCAGAAAAACAAACTGAACATAATTGGCTGTCTCAGTGAGGGTTTCTTATTTCTCATGGGGTATCTTTTCCTGCAAAGAACACTCAGGTAGTCTCACAGTCCTCAGTGCCTGCGTGAGCTGTTGCTGATACTAAAAGGTTTGGTATACAAGCCTAGGAAAAGGCTCAACATATTGGCATTTCTCCAGTCATGGTATTGAAATAAAAAAGGAGCCTCTGACTGTGAGGAATATTCTCAGTACGTTTGTTCGGGCGAAATGAATCTAAGTGCAGCCTCCTACCTCTGCAGAGGAATGCCAATTTGATAGGAGATGAGCTGAAACTGGGAAGCTCCCTTATGTTTCCCTGGCCTGCAGAAAGGATCCTGCAACACAGTAGACCCTCAGTGCTATGGCATAAGGAAAGGCTCACACTCAGAGAGGAAGCTCAATGTGAGAGAAATAGGTGAGATCTGTCCCTGGTCTGGGCTGATCTCTCAAACTGTGATGGTCTTCTTCTGTTGAAACAAAGGTAGGGGTAGATGGAAAAACAGAAGGTTCCATAGTAGTTACACATTGGCTGCAGATGCTCCCTATTTACCTGATGAGGAACCTCAAACCAATAACAGACTGTAGGCTTTTCTGGCCTGATAAATGGGTGACATTAAATAGTGAACATGAGCACCCACCATCCTACCTGTTTCTTCACTGGTGCTCACAAAATGCAGGTTATGATTTCTGACCTACAGTCATACATTAAGAAATGAGGTAAGCCCAAACTGTACTCACCACCCACAATCATCTTGGTGCCTCCTCCAGACAACAGCTCCTTGTCCTCAGAGTCTGTTTTCTGGAACTTGACACAGTAGTAGGTGCCCACATCTGCAGGGATGATATTATAGATTTTGATTGAAAAGTCCGTGGAGTTTCTCTTTGTCACATCTGCCACATTTGTGACTCGTGGGAAGTGTCCTCCTCTGAAATTGTAGATTAACTCCCGGTCTTGTCCTTGCCCCTAGCACCTTTTGCTTACATTATACTGACTCATATTATATGAGATAAATATCATTATACTGATTTTGTCAGTTTTTTGTCAGCTATGCTACTGTGACAATTACTGAAAATTTATTTCCTTAAAATGAAAAACTTATTCCTTCATGGATCAGAGCATTTAAAATTCCACTTTAGTGCAAGTGATCAACGCAAATATACTAAAAAACAAGAAAATTCACATATCTCAAAAAGTAATTCTAAGTTTTATTTAGAATCAGAAAATATGCAGAATCACTAATGTAACCCAGAAGGAAAAGAGCAATGTTGGAGATATCACGATACCAGGCTGTAAGCCATACTAATAAAAAATATCATGGTGCTGATGCAAGAAATGACATATATAGGAACAGAATAGAACAAAAGACACAGGAACAAAGTCAAACACACAAAGCCATCTGATTTTTAATGAAAAATCCAAATATATGCTGGGGAAAGAAGTCTCTCTAATGAGTAGTTTTAGGATAACTGGAGAGTCACAATCAGAAAATTGAAATTATACTCCTTTATCTCATTCTGTGCTAAAATCAATCAATAAAGAACAAAATGAGGGTCCAAAACTCAAAGCAGGCGTGAGCGAGCTGCGCGGGTGCTCCAGGGAGAGAATAAGTCAGTGTCTCCCAAGAATCAGCCATGCTGGAACTTGGGACAGATCAAGAAAACAATGAGCCAACCTTCCTGGTAAGCAGTGCTAGCGAGCCACGGGTGAGCCAGGGAGAGAATCAGTGTCTCCAGTGAGCCTAATGGTGCGCGGGCTGAGAATCAAATGTTCCATACCCTTCCAACACCCCAATGCTACATCAATCCCCATTCCCATTAGCAACTGGATGGTTTTGAGGTCAGTTGGAGTTGATAGCATCAAAGGTGCATAAAGCAAGTAAATGATTGTATTCTTTGGTCAGTTATACTATGACCTGGGGCCAGAGGTCTGAGCATCTCTTGGGAGGATGACCCTATGCGATATAGCAAATATGGGGTATTTCCTTCTAACTTGTTTTTGAAGACCGATATTATTTTCACAGTTTTGCTGTATTCTGAATAATTGTTTTTCTCTATTCAATATTCTGTTTTGTTTGGTTTTATAGTGTTCTTTGTTTGGTTTGGTTTTACTATATCTAATTGAATTGAGAGCCAGAGAGACAGAAGATACATTATGGTGTCTATTATAGTTATCCCAGGATCCTGCTCTGAAGTTCTGTACCAATTTCACTGCATTATCTTGATTGGCTTTGTTCTGTTTGTTTTGCTGTATTTTACTATCCTTAAAAAAAAAAACAGAAAACTGAAACAATGAAAGTAGCTGGAAGAAACACAGAGTAAGTACTTTAACCCATAGATACAAGCAAAGACTTCTTGAATATTTCCAACGCACAGAAAATATTTTCAAAAGATTAAAAGAATGGTATTGTAGCAAATTAAAAGATGTTTTGGAAAGAAACAACTATCAGAGTGAACAGACAAATGGGAGGAAGTCTTTGATAGCCAATCGGCTGACAGAAGAATAATACCTGCAATATATGAGCAATTCAGAAAAACTAGACTTCATAAAACACAGAGAGGAATACAAAATGTGAAGAAGATCTGAATAGATGTTTCTTGAAAGAAATGTGCTTAATCTAAAATATTTTTGTTTTGAGTGACAGAAAGATTCAGGCTATCTACTGATTTGTCTTTATTAAAATGACAAATTATTGCTGGGCATGGTGGTGTATGCCTGTAATCCCAGCACTTGGGAGACTGAGGCAGGAAGATTGTTGTGAGTTTGACAGCAAGTTGGGCTACAATATGATCACTAGGCCAGCCTGAACTGCAGGGGGATCTTGTCTCAGAAAGACAAAAAAAAAAAAAAAAGAACAAATTACGCAAGATTTCTTGGAGGATGGTTTTTAAAATCAGTCCTACCTGTAATGTAGACACTAAAATCTGTCATTCTGGGTGGTTTCCTGCCAGAACCAGTGAGTCGGTTAGGCATGGAATCCAGCCCCAGTGTAGGGGAACTTTGTTTGTTGCTTGGGGTCCAGCGTGTGGTTTCCTGCTGGGACCCACGAGTGGGGCCTAAGCAAGGAATCCTGCCCCAGGAATCCCACCCTGGTCTGGAGGAACTGTCTTCATTGCCTGGGGATCTGCCTGTGGTTTCCTGCTGGGACCAGCCAGTCCAGTAGGACTGGGCCCCAGTCTAGGGGAACTCTCTTTCTTGCCTGGGGACCAGCGCACAGTTTCCTGTTGGGCCCAGCCAGTTGGGCCTAGGTACAGAATCCCATCCCAGTCTCAGGGAATACTCTTCCTCACCTGAGGGGCCAGGCCACAGTTACCTGTGGGTCCAGCCCGTTGGGCCTAGACACACTCTGGGGGAACTCTCTCCCTCACTTGGAACAAAACTTGAAGCTCAAAAAAATAGGAAAATGACAAAACGAAAGAACAAAATGCAGCATCAAACATTCAGCCCATCCCAAGAAAGCCTAGGAACCACATGCATAGAAGAAAACACATTCCACATACATGAAATACCTGACATAATAGAAACTGAAATAAAGAAGCAACTCTGGGAAACCTTAAAGGAATTCAAACTAGAACTAATCTCTCAGTAAAAGAAGAAATGATAAAATAAATGAAGGAGATGCTGAACATATCTAAAGAAGACAAAGTTACAAAACTGGAGGACCTAAACAAAAAGATAGAATCCCTGGATGAACAATATAAGAAACAAACAGAATACATAAAGCAGATGGAAAGAGATATACAGGAAATCAAAAACTCCATTGAAAGTTGTAAAAACCGTCTCAATGAATGTGAAGATAGAATCTCAGACCTCGAAGACAAGATTGCAGCTAGCGAACAGGAAAGGAAAGATCTTTTAAAAATAACAAGAAATCAGGAAATAACAATGCAACACCTGCAAGATGATGCAAAGTAGAACAACATAAGGTTGATAGGGATAAATGAAAAAGAAGAGGACAACATAAAGGATGTCAAGAGGATATTTAGAGAAGTAATAGCTGAAAATTTCCCAAACAAGAGATGAGAAACTGATATCAAGATCAATGAAGCATATAGAATTCCAAATAGCCATAACCAAAATAAATCTACACCCAGACATATAATAATGAACATTCCAGAAATTGAACAAAAGAATAGAATATTAAAAGCTGTCAGAGAGAAAAGACGGATCACCTATAAAGGAAAACCTATCAGAATCACAGCAGACTTCTCAGCAAAAAACAATAAAGTCAAGAAGAGCATGGAGTGTAGTATTCCAGATCCTAAAGCAAAATGATTTCCAACCTAGGCTGATGTACCCTAAAAAACTGTCCATCAAAATGGATGGAGAAATAAGATACTTCCATGACAAAGAACAGCTGAAAAACTTCATGATCACCAAGCCAACCCTGCAAAGAATACTGAAAGACAGCCTATATACATTTAGGAAAAAACCACTAAACAAAGCAGACAGTTAAACAGAGCAGAAAGATAAAGATGCAACAGAAAAAAGATAACATGTCAACAACAAAACAATATATAACAGTTATAACCATTAATGTAAATGGTCTCAATGCACCAATTAAAAGAAACAGACTGGCAGAATGGATCAAGAAACAGAATCCAACATATGCTGTCTACAAGAAACCCATTTAAGCCAAAAGTATACTCACAGACTCAAAGTGAAAGGATGAAAAACAATTCTTCATGCAACAGGAACCCCAAAAAAGTGGGGATAGCTATTCTGCTTGCAGATAACCTTAATTTCAAACCAATAATGATCAGAAGGGATAAAGAAGGATACTACATACTGGTTAGCAGGAAACTTCAAGAGGAAGAGATAACTATCTTAAATATATATGCACCAAACTCCAGAGCACCCTGTTGTATAAAACAAGTACTAACAGAAATGAAAAACCAAATTAGCAGTAACACAATTCTAACAGGAGGTCTTAACACACCATTGACACCAATGGACAGATCAACTAGACAGAAAATCAACAAAGAAATAAAAGAACTGAATCGCACCTGTGAAAAAATGGACTTAATAGACATATAGAGAGTATATCACCCAACAACAAGAAAATACACATTCTTCTCAGCATTACCTGGGTCCTTCTCTAAAATAGATCATATATTAATTCACAGAACATATTTAAATAAATGCAAAAGGGTCAAAATTATCCCTTACATGCTATCAGACCATACGGCTGTGAAATTAGAAATTAATGATAAAAGATACTACAAAAATCCCACAAACACATGCAAACTGAATACCACACTCTTGAATAATCAGTGGGTCACAGAGGAAATTAAGGAAGAAATTAAACAAAACCTACAAACAAATGAAAATGCAAATAAAACTTACCATAATCTGTGGGATGCAATGAAAACTGTCCTCAGAGGAAAATTTATTGCACTGAGTTCCCACATTAGGAAAATAGAACAAATACAATTAAATAACCTGATGTTATACCTCAAGCATCTAGAAAAGAAGAGCAAGTGAAGCCCAAAGCCAAAAGAAGAGAGGAAAATACAAAAAGCAGAGAAGAAATCAATGCATTAGAGACCAAAAGAACAATCCAAAAAAATCAATGAATCAAAGTGCTGGTTCTTTGAAAGAATAAATAAAATTGACAAGCCCCTAGCCAACCTTATTAAAGAAAAAGAGAAGAAAAAGCTCAAATTCATGCAATAAGGAGTGAAAGAGGCAAAATTACTACAGACCCTATAGAAATACAGATCATCAACACCTATTTCGAAAACCTCTACTCTCAAAGGTTTGATAACACAGAGGAAATAGACAGATTCCTAGAAGCATACAAAGTATCAACGCTATGTCATGAAGATGCAAA